TTAAAAAAAGAAGTCGATGGTTTTGTTCCTAATCGTCTTCAATATGCGATTTTTACATCAGCTCTTCAATTAGTTCAAGATAGAGTTGCTGAAACTGAAGATATTGATCGAGCAATGACACATAGATTAGCATGTCTATGATCATTTATGGGACTATTTCAAATAATTGGTTTTGATGTACCAAAAGCGATTATGGATTGTGATGTATTCGAAAAAAATTCAATTAATCTATTTTTTCTATTTAAAGAAAAAGATTTTGATCTATATGGTTCAACAATGCAACGTGTTTTAACTGATAGGAATTTTCTATCAGATTAGACACAAGAAACTATTGAAAAAGTTGATCATTATTTTCGTGCAAAATATTCAGTTAGTGAAAATGGAATTAGAATAAATGATAAAAAATTATGGAGTGATGAATGTTTATTACATTTAACTAAGTATAAATGAACATATGTTGATCGTGATTATTGTACAGTGTGGGGCTAGAAAAGCATGTACATTTCTGTATCTTCACATGGATAAAAATAAAAAACAAAAAGTTATTTATTAGTAATTATATCATCATTATTATCAATTACTGTTTGCAATAGTTTTGCATATTCCACAATGTGATTTCTGCAATATTTTTGTATTTATCTGATTTTCATATTTGTGAAATTATTTTCCTCATACATACATTAATTGCATGATCGACTTTTTTCTGTTTGAAAATGATTGGTGAATTAGACCATCTGACCTGCTTCTTTTATTATCATATAATATACTTATTTTGAATAGTAAATCTTTTCAATGCCACTAAAACTTACAAGTTCTTCTATCGACATTTGTCTTCTTCGATAATTTCGTATAGTTAGCTTTCTATCCTCACTTTTCAGTTTGCACACCTGTTATCATTATTTTCATTCGTTTGATAGACTTTTTGTGTAATTCGACATTTTGATGAACTAAAATAATATAGGAATTGATTGTGACTTTCCAGTTTCGAATCAGGATGAAAATTTCAAAAAATCTTGAGACGCCGCTTAAAATCCGATCTCAGTTCAGAGACATTGAAGTCTGCATGAAATTCGTAGTATATGTTAGGGCTGTAGTGGAGATGTTGTGGTAAAATTTTCAGCCCTACACCATGATGTTTGGGTGAAATATACCCAAAACATGGGTTAAAAATAGCTCATCTGAGCTCCCAAAATTCTCTGTTCAGGCTCATTCTATATATTTAATTTTTTTTTGTTGGAATGAGCATGTCAGGATGCAATGAAAAGAGATGACAAGTTTAATTACTCGAAAAACTCTCAAAAAATGCCACTTCAATTTTAAAACTGGTTTTCAATATAGTAATAATAAAGGCTTTTTCAAAATGGAATATAAAAAGAAAGAAAAAAAATACAATGTAACTGTAAATATTCGGATAACTGAAAAATATTTAACAAGCGATTTTTAATGTTTTCATTCAAATTTTTTTTTGAATGGTTTTTCAAGATAAAAAGTATAATGACGTAGAGAGATATAGTCAATCATCGATCATCTGTCGAATATTGCTGATATAGTTCCGAAGAAGAAAAATATTCACGTTATAAAATTGTTAAATGAAAATGAAATAGAAAATATTAAAAAAATGAATATTATAATGTAATCAATCATAAAAATGATGACATTTTTTCTTAATAATTCTATACATATATATTTAGATGAAATTGCTTTAACTCGTATCGATAAAAATCAGATCTATAAATTAATGATTGCAGTGGCTAATAATACAAATGAAACACCAACGAAAGATTTAATAACAACAATATATATGTATATCTTTATTGTTTTCACGTATTTACGTTATTTAAATTTCTGTTCATTTTCAAATATAAATCCTCCA